GAAACTAGAGTGAGTTCAGAAGAGAGGGTATGTTTTAGGGACACAAAAAGTAGGGTTCTGCAAGGAAAAAGCCCAGGAAAAAAAAAGCCCAAGAGATCCAGTTAGCATCTTTTTTTTCAGTACTGAGGATTGAACTCAAGACCTTGCACTCGCCAGGCAAGCACTTATGTTGCTAAGCTAGCTTCCCAGCCCAGTATCTTTAAATATATGAATGGTTTTAGAAAAGGTAATTGAGTAAAAGAAAACAAGTTTGAATGACAGCAGGCAAGATTTCAGTCAGGCCTGGGTATTTCTTGACAATCACCTTAATAGAATACTGGAATTGATCAGTGGGGGAGTCTCTCATGCCCTTTCCTGAAAAAATGCTTCAATGAACCAAAGGTTTTGAGTCAGGGACATTTACCTTCCTGTAGGCAGGGGGTGACCACATCCCCCTGGGTTCTGAGGCTCTATACTCCCCAGGACAGAACCAGGCTTTCCTCTTTCCATAATTCCCAGAATGACCTGTTCCTCCCAGGAAGTAGCACCGAACGCTGCTAGGTCGATCTTTGTCCCCACTGATAAGTACGACTATATAGCCACCCGGAGTACAAGAGCTCAGCACAGCAGCAAAGCCAGAAATCAATTCTCTAACAACCACACACAGATTCAAGAGCCCTTTCACAACACAGCCCACAACTAAATGAGAAAACAGAAAAACGCTCCCACAGCATGTGCAAATGAGGAATGTATTTGCCTTGACAATGTAAAGTTTAAGTAATGAAAGAGAAAGAGTTTTTCAAAATTAAGAGATAATACTGAAGATATTTCTAAGGAAACCTGTAATGAATACTTTTGACACTCAGAAGTACTTGTAGTTTTTAGTACAAATAAAGATAATATTTCAGGGCCTGGGGATATAGCTCAGTGGCATAAGCGCTGCCTGGCAAGTGCAAGGTCTCAAATCCAATCCCCAGTACCGCAAAAAAAAAAAAAAAGAAAGAAAATATTTCAAGAGAAAATTGAGAGGAACGGCCTTTCCTTTACACCAAAGAGCTGCCACTAAAACAAAAACAAAAAGAAAAGTGTCCTCTAGGTTCAGACCTCCCCACCAGTGAACCCAGGTTTAAAGAACTTGACTTTCACCTTCTATAACCTGAACTCGAGGACAAGGGCCAAGTCTTTGTCCTTTCTCCAAACACAGAATCTGCCATGGGTCCAGTACATAGCAGACCCTATGTAAATGTTTGCTGAAGGAATGCATAAAAGATGTGGCCTGGTCTGCAGAGTGGGGGAGCAGTGAGTTTATGTGAGTGCAGGTTGCAGAATGCCCAGCATAGCGCAGTCTAAATCATAATTAGCAGCACCAACACCAAGCATCTCAGTTTCTTTTAGAGAAAAAATAAAGATCTTCCTGTGCTCCTCCAGATTTGCAATTTCCTGCGGGGTTTTTTTTTTTTTTCCCTCCAACAGGGTATTGCCGTATGAAATGGAACTTACAAATTCTGTTCTTTCAAGTTCGCGCTCTATCTGTAAAGTCTGCTGGCATTATTCTGAATCCCGTCTTTGATAGCAACCTCAAGTGCTTGAATTGTCATTACAGGCTACCAGAAAGCACTGGCAAATTACGTGTTCAGAGAACAATAAAAAATGCTCACTTATCCTACGCTCTTGATCATTACTACTTTGTTCCATATAAACCTCAAAGGTGGCTCCCCAAAACTGGTCTCTACGGAAGGAAGAGAGAAATGAAGGAACATAAAACATAAAAAATGAAGAATATGAGCAGCTATGACTTGCATACTGCACTCCATTTTCTTTGGTAGGAAACTGATATTTAATACATGGTGAGGCAGATCCTGCCTGGAGGTGGTGTCCGGAGTGTTCCCTCCAAGGAGGCTCAGGAGGTTCCTGGCCTATGGCTTTGTTTCAAAACTGACCCTGGCCATGGGCAAAGTTCTATTTGGGGGGTACTTTCTCAGAGGCACAGCTGTAGCCCCTGCAACTCTGTTCTAGCATCTGTTTGCACATGTTTAAAGTAGCTAGAAAGTGCCACTACAGAAAAGAAGCTCTCCATCAGAAACCAGGAGAAGCTCAATGGGAATAAAGACTCTGGAAAGGTCACAGAGGGGTAAAAAAAATGGTTCTTTTTTTCTGTGGCTATAGGGGGTTTATTGTTGCTGGTGCCCAAACTGGAAAAGGAATAGCAGGAGATTAATAATTGAAATGTTGCTATTATTGGTTTTCTAAACTATATGTGGGTTATTCTTTCCCTGCGGTCATCATCCCTGTAAGCAGCTCAGAAGATAGAGGGATTTAACACACCAAGAAAATGCCTGTTACAGCTGGGACTTTACTAAATATACTAGTTTCTAATGGAGTCCTCACACAATCCAATAAAGCTAGAAATAATAATAAAAAACCTCTGAGAAGTTAAATAACATGCCCAAAGTCAGGTGGCTAGATTCATATTCAGACTCCAGTTTCTCTGATTCAAGTGCCATACCACACTGACCAGAGTCACAGCTAAAATTAACGAGCTTTGATTCACTACTCAAATGTGATGAGCTAGAAAACAATATTTATACTTACTCATTTTTAAAATGTAAAACATAAACACAGGAAAAGATATTTTGGGACATGTGTCATCAAATTCTTTTAAGAGAAGATGATTCAGAATCTCATTTCTTGGTAGAAAGGTGTCTTTCAGTCCCTCTAATGATGGATTTCAGTGTGAGAATTTCTAGAAGCCTGATTATGAAGTGCTCCTTGATATAAACCAACACTAATCAACATACCGTATCTCAGGTACAGTGAGACACAATTCACTTGGAATGTAGGTCTCTCTAATTCAAACCCACGGCAATCCAGACCTTTGTGGTTGGCCTTTGTACTACGTACTGAAATGGCCCTGCTAAACAAGTTGATGAAGTAAATACAGTCACAAGGCAAATGTTTAACCTTCCAAAGAAAATAAACCTTTTTGAAAGAAGTTTAACTTGATCAGTACCAAACCACTGAAAACTAATATGCTATTTATAAACCCAGCCTTATTAAAGCAAACTTTGCTAGTGATTATACTTTGTCACCCATCGAATCATATTATCGAATATACCTTGTTTCAAAAACAGCATTCTTGTCTAAGTCTTTGGCAGTTTTCAATGTTCCTCTAATGCATGCAGGCCTTCACCCAGGGTTCCAACTCTACTGAAGCAGTTCCAGCCAAAGGCCTCACATGTCATTTACTTCTCCTCAGAAGAATCGCATTCAATTTTTAGAAGTTCAAAATCCATTAGAAATCCCTCTTCCAAGAGAATGCCACAGGAAAAGCCCTGCACATTTAAGAAGTACACAGGAAGTCCACATGCCCTGATCAGGGTATGGTAAATACCAGGTTCAATGAACACAGTGGATGTCACCAAAGAGAGAGGATGGAGGCCTGTAGAGTCTCGGAAGCAGTCACCACACTAGGGGTACATGGGTCACAGTAGCACGATCCCTGGCCATGGATATTATGCACAACAGTCTCTTCAAAAGACCTGGCTGAGCTTTTGACTGAGTGACGCTGGGCTGATTGAACAGCATGAGAGTGCCCGCTTTGGCAGCATATACACTTATAATGAAAAGAGTTGGGAGGAAAACTAGCAAAAATTATAGATACAGAAAAACTATTGTAGAATAAAAGGCTACCAAACATAGCAGCAATCGAGAAAGCATACAGACAAGATTTTGGAAAAACCAAGAATTGAGGAGGGGGACAAGGTGGATCACCTGTGACAGGAAAGGCAGGCTGGCAAGGAAAACCCGTGAGCTGAGACCTCTGAGATCATGATTATTCTTAAGCCATAACACCTTACACACCTACAGTTCTTTATCTGATGTGATGCACTAATAGAGCTATGTAATAAAAATGGGAGTGTCGGGTCTCAGGCAAGGGGGATGGCCAACACGCCACATGGATTTAGGATGAATGAACACGTGAGCTGTGCAGTTCCCAAGGCGGCTTTGCACAAAGTTGACAAAATACATCCCAACCCACATACCCACTCCTCTGTAACAGGGAGAGAAACTGGCAGCCCATAGTTCTCAATTCAAAGCCAAGTTCCTTCTCTAATGCTCACTCTTAGTGTCCAGCAGAGGGAGTCTCAAGGAGGTACGTACTTAATAAAGAGAAAACTGTTTCATTTTAACACTCTAGACAGTGGGAGCTTTGACTGCAGCCCCCTCCCCTAGACAGATGAACAATGCATGCCCGACATGGGCTCTCCTGCATATTCCCATCCACCAGCATGTTCTCTTCTGCGTGGTGGACTGATCAGAAATTTTGTTTCGCTTTGTCGAATCATTAAATGGACCTTGTGTTCTTCAGAATCAAAGGGGAAAGCCCCTGGAATAACATCTCTCTGTTGCCTTCTAAACAGCCCCTTTGTTTCTAAGAGAGTCTGAAAAAAAATATTTACAGTCGATAGGTTATTTACAGCCTCAATATCCAAGGCCTGACTGGTAACTCTATTCCATCCAGAAACCTAATTCATTTGGAGCTTGGAACTAATAACAGATTTTCTTTTCAGATAAGTTTTATTTTTTAAAATAACCTCTCCTAACAGAGATAAAACTATTAACGTGATCCCTGTCTCACTCCCCACGACTGTTCTCCAGATTTATAGGATTACAATCTCTTTTTGCCCCTCCTCTCGATTCCATGCAAACCCTTTCTCCTCTCATTTGCGATTTAATCCACAGAGTATCTGAACAAAACCGAAAGAAAGCCAGATGGACCCTCACTAAAAGTATGGAAAGGCTGCTATTTCAATGATTTCATGAGAGAAACATTTTCACGATGAAACGACTGGAAAATCAGGCACACTTTGGTTGAAAACCCCTCGTACTACAAATTAAAAAAAAAAAATCGAAGTGTAAAAACTTAGTTGATTCGGGTTTTATTTCTGAAAGAAGCCGTACAGAACTGACTGAAGAGAAACGAAAGAGTGTGCAAGGCAAACGTAGCGCTTTTGCCTTACCTTCTTTTCTTTCTTCCTGAAGACAGTCAAATCGGAAAAAATCAGCCAGGTGAAGAAGGTGCACAATACGGATCTACCCAGACCCATCCAGAAAAAAACGTCTCCGCCCGCCCCTGACTTGAAAACCCAAACTACCTTCTCCCCTCCGCACGCTAATGCGGGGAGATTTGAGCCTATTTCATTGTTCTGCCTGGGTCTGAAATGGACTTTTCATCTTTATCCCCTCTCCGCGCCTGGCCCCACACAATCCGATTCCACAGCCGCCGCCCCCCCCCCCATCGGAGGCTCGCGAAGAATAAAGGAGCGTGGGGTGGGAGCGGAGGGCAGCGGAGGGGGCGCAGCGAGGAGGGCAGAGTCGGAGCCGCAGCCCGGAGGTGACGGCCGCGGCATCCCCGCCG